AAAAAAAAAAAAAATCAAGTGAAAACGTTAAAAAATGGAATTAGCACAGATCCAAGCTCTGAGCACCAAGAGTTCAAGGCAGCTAAATGAAGGAAGAGTCGCTGTTATAGAAATTAGCTTCTATTTTTATGTGACATAGAGAGGGGGAGTTTGCTGCTAATTACTGGTTGAAAATAGGGAATCTTAACTTTTTGTGTGCCACAGACCCTTTTGGTAGATTAGTGCAGCTGTGGACCCCTGGTCAGAGTAATGCTTTTAACTGCATACAAGAAAATGCACAGGATTCCAAAGGAAACCGATTATCCTGACTCACATCTGTAATCCCAGCACTTTGGGAGGCCGAGGCAGGCAGATCCGCAGGTCAGGAGTTCAATACCAGCCTGGCCAGCATGGTGAAACCCTGTCTCTACTAAAAATACAAAAATTAGCCAAGCATGGTGGCTCATGCCTGTAGTCCCAGCTACTTGGGAGGCTGAGGCAGGAGAATCGCTTGAACCCAGGAGGCAGAGGTTGCAGTGAGCTGAGATCGTGCCACTGCACTCCAGCATGGGTGACAGAGCAAGACTCCATCTCAAAAAAAAAAAAAAAAAAGGAAAAATGTGAGACAACAATAAGCATGCTTGCTCAGTAGCAGCCTAAGAAACAAGACCTACTATCACTGTAACTTTGAAGTAGTGATCGGCATATAGGGTATTTTTGAGACATCAGGAAGAACTCTAACGTGATATGAAGATATCTGTGATTTCCGTTGCCAGCCACGAAGTCACGGGGTCTGCTGATAGGACAGCCATTTGTTGCCTGCATTCATAATTGAAGGAAATATTAAATGTGACTTGAGGTTATAAAAATAAAACACGCTGGGCACAGTGGCTTGCGCCTGTAATCCCAGCATTTTGGGTGGCTTGCGCGCCAAGAAGTTCAAGACCAGCCTGGACAATATGGCGAAAACCCATCTCTACAAAAACAACAAAAACAAGCATAAATTAGCTTGGTGTGGTGGCGTGTGCCTGTTGTTCCAACTACTTGGGAGGCTGAGATAGGAGGATCCCTTGAGCCCAAGAGTTTGAGACTGCAGTGAGCTGTGATTGTGCCACTGCACTCCAGCCTGGGCAACTGAGCAAGAACTGCCAAAAATACAATACAATACAATACAATACAATACAATACAATACAATACAATGCAATGCAATGCAATGCAATATTACAATACATTACAATGCAATGCAATACAGAAGGAAAGGAAGGAAGGAAGGAAGGAAGGAAGGAAGGAAGGAAGGAAGGAAGGAAGGAAGGAGTGAATGAATCCAGTGTACTCACCTTGACAAGTAAGGGCTGGAAGAAGCACAGCAGGCAGGTCCCAGAGAGGCCGCCTGTGCTGTGTGTGTGACTGCCAGAGGCCACCTCCAGCCAAGAACATCACCTGGCTTTCTGGACAGAGACCTAACCCAGGCGCTACTGCCTGGCCCAGGCTCTACCACAAATCCCTGAGCATTTACAGGGAGGAAGGAAGGAGGAAAACGTACTTTTAAGGAAGGAAGGAGGGAAGGAGGGAAGGTTGGTGAAAAATGTATTTTTTCCCCATCCAATATCATGAAGCGTCTGAATTGCTGCAGGGGCTGCAGGGAACGTGGTCACAGGCAAAGAGCCTCTGGTGAATCAGGGGCTGAGTAAGGCAAGGGAGAACATCACAGGAGGAGCTGGTGTCTGCTCTGCCTCCTGAATCCACACCAGCGACAAGCCTGGCCCCAGACCCCACGGAGCGCTGCCTGGTTCCTCCTGCCTTCACAGAAGTTACCCGGTTTGGTCTGTGTGACTTTCACTGGTGTTTCGTTCCCCCACCCCACCTCCTGAATGGTTTCTGGTGCCTGCAATAGAGCTTATGAAAGATTTAGGACATGGCCAGGACTGTAATCCACGGTGACAGCCTTGGCCACCACCTAAAGGGCTTGCTATCACCACCCTGGTGGCAGCAGGATGGAACCTCGGCGTGCCTGCCAGGAGTGTCTGCATAACAGCACCCAGGAGAGGGGACGCGCTGGAGCCACTGGCACAGCCGGGCAGCGCTTCCTAAGGCTGAGACACATCCCATCCAGGGTCTGGGTGGCGAGTTTGGGGGGGCAATGGAATTCCAGATGGCTGTCCGGCCCCCTCTACCTGGAGCCCAGGGGCAGAGGCGTGGATGATACTGAAAGCTATTTGATAAGCCTCAGGGTCAGTGAGGCTGTGTTGAGCACTTACTTGCACCTTTGTAAGCAACAAACAGCCGCCATATCAGCAGCTCTTGTGACAGCAAAGCATCATTTAATTGTCACATCTCTGCTACTGACATCCTGCAGATGGAAGCCAGGAGTTCCCGGTTCCCATCTGGCTTTGGGACTTGGGCAAGTCCTTTTTTCTCTTTAGACCTCGGTTTCCTCATCTAAAATGAGAGTCTGCACCTGATGAGCCATGAGGCCCTCTCAGCTCCCGCCTCCTACAAAAGGCGGTGTGTTCTAGAGCCAGAGCCTGCCCTGGGTGCCCGCCAGAGCTGGGGTCCCGTCCCCACCCTTCCTTAGCTTCGGCACACACTTCACCCATGAGGGCAGCATGGACTATAGGCAGCTTTGTTTCTGATCAGAGGCAGCTGGGGCCTCTCTGGCAGGAGCCCAAACCAAGACATTTTAATAAATGTCCCAGAGTCCCAGATGAAATCTCCGGTCCAAGTCCTCCGTAAAGAAAGAAGCCTGGAGCCTGGCTGTTTATGCTGGCTGACCACTGATGGAGCAGAGTGAATTCTCAGACTTTACCAACAAATGTCCAGGAAGGGTCTGTGGAACGAGGGAATCTGGAGCACTCACCTTCACAAGTAAGGGCTGGAAGAGGTACAGCGGGCAGGTCCCAGAGAGGCCGCCTGTGCTGTGTGTGCGACTGCCAGAGGCCACCTCCAGCCAAGAACATGACCCGGCTTTCTGGACAAAGATCTAACTCATGCGCTACCGCCTGGCCCAGGCCCTGCCTCAAATCCCTGGGCATTTACAGAGCCAGGATCATCTCCCCTGGCTGAGGCTCCCCTGAGGCAGGGAGGATTTTTTAAAATCTCACTGAGGTGCCTGAAGTTAAAAAAGCCAGTGAAATTCCAAGCAGCTTTGGTTTACAGCACAGAACCGTGAAGAAGGGCCACACTGGGTGCTCCCAGAGGTGAGTGGGATCGAGGCTGGCTCAGAGAGATCGATCATTTCTCCTGGTTTGCACAGCTAGAAAGTGGCTGAGCTGGGGCTACAGCTTAGGCGTTCCGCCTCCAGCGCCCTTGCTCTCCCCACCCCAGGAATATGTAAGTTGATCTGCATTTTCGGGCCATTCTGCCCTTGTGGGTTGTGGGCTATGACCCTACCTTGTATGCACCTGCCTGGCTGTGACCTGCTGGGTCTCTTCTGGGGAGGCCCGCTTCCTCCAAGGCCTCCTCCAGGGAGAAGCTGCTGCCCAGGAGGAAGGCCACCATGTCCTTCAGCTGCTCAGAGAACTGCTCCAGCGATGTCAGGCTGCCAGTGCAGGCACCCGACTGGTATTTCCAGAACTGGGGACGGCTCGTGCTGGGGACACAAGGGAAAGCAGACTCTCACTGCGGCCCCTGATAATTCACTATAGAAGGGCTGCAGAGAGAGAGGAGGATGCCTAGTGCGGACATTTCCAGCCTGGCACTGGAGTAGGGGGCATAGTTTTCAGCAGGGGACCTTGCTGGCATCCTTCAAATGTCCCCAGATTAGAAACGATTAAATCAGCGTGTATAGAACACACTCCCACCTCCCACCCAGTGTGTCTTCTATACCCTCAATCCAAGACAAGCCAAACCACCGAGAAAGGTAAATGGTGGCAGGGCACAGTGGCTGATGCCTGTAATCCCAGCACTTTGGGTGGTCAAGGCAGGTGGGTCTCTTGAGCTCCGGAGTTCAAGACCAGCCTGGGCAACATGGTGAAACCCCGCCTATACTAAAAATACAAAAATTAGCCAGGCATGGTGGTGAACACCTAGCTACTCAGGAGGCTGAGGCAGGAGAATTGCTTGAATCTGGGAGGTGGAGGTTGTAGTAAGCCAAGATGGTGCCACTGCACTCCAGCCAGGTCAATGCAGTGAGACTCTGTCTCAAAAAAAAAAAAAAAAGAAGTAAATGGTGCCCTTTCTGCTACGGAGGTGAGGCCAGCAGCCCAAAGGGGACAGAGGACATGTATCTTGGGGAACCTCTCAGTGCTAGCAGTGGGTGCGGCTTTTCTCTTCCCTTAGAGGAAATGCTTCTGCAGGTCTGAAAAGCTTCTTTGGCTACAAGGTTATTCTTTACTCATCCAGACTCTTACTGAGCCAGTCCTCCATGCCAGGCACATGCTGGGTGATGGGGCTAGAGCAATGGAGAGGACACCATCCCAGTCTTTGTTTTTTTATTTTATGTTTTCTAATTTTTTTTTTTTTTTTTTTGATACGGAGTCTTGCTCTGACACCCAGCCTGAAGTGCAGTGGAGCCATCTTGGCTCACGACAACCTCTGCCTCCCAGGTTCAAGTGATTCTCCTGCCTCAGCCTCCAGAATAGATGAGATTATAGGCCTGCGCCACCATGCCTGGCTAATTTTTGTATTTTTAGTAGAGACAGGGTTTCACCATGTTGGTCCGGCTGGTCTCGAACTCCTGATCTCAGGTGATCCACCCTCCTCAGCCCCCCAAAGTGCTGAGATTACAGGTGTGAGCCACTGTGCCTGGCCCATTCCAGCCTTTAAAGAGCTTGTAGGCCAGGCGCGGTGGCTCAAGCCTGTAATCCCAGCACTTTGGGAGGCCGAGGCGGGTGGATCACGAGGTCAAGAGATCGAGACCATCCTGGTCAACATGGTGAAACCCCGTCTCTACTAAAAATACAAAACATTAGCTGGGCATGGTGGCGCGTGCCTGTAATCCCAGCTACTGAGGAGGCTGAGGCAGGAGAATTGCCTGAACCCAGGAGGCGGAGGTTACGGTGAGCCGAGATCGCGCCATTGCACTCCAGCCTGGGTAACAAGAGCGAAACTCCGTCTCAAAAAAAAAAAAAAAAAAAAAAAAAAAGAAAGAAAACCAAAAAAAAAAAAAAAAAAAAAAAAAAAAAGAGCTTGTAATCCTACATTGCTAGGCAAGACTTCGCTGAAGACAGATACTTGCAATACACAGCAGTGAATGTCAACCGTCTAAGTAGAGTGACACAGAGAAGGAAGAAATCGATTCTCTCCCACAAAGGAGTTAGGTGCTGGGTCTTGAGGCATGAATAGGAGTTCGCCAGTTGGGCAAGGAAGAATGCACACTCAGACAGAGGAAGTGGCATGTGGAAGCTTACTAGGGGGATCTGCTCTAGGAGTCTCCAAGTGGGCAGCATGGGAGGCACCAGGAAAAAATGTAAAGACACAATCGTGGGCCCAGGTGGGGTCTCCAAAGCACCTTCCCATCCTAAAAATCATGACGGAGTGTTCTTGGGGAGCTTTCTGTCCGGGGAGCTGGTTGGGGATGACTGGAGTGTCAGGGGTCAGAGGAGAAACAGCTGGGCCAGGACGAATGGGTCTTGGGATCAGGATGAGGTCCAAGCCATAAGAAGATGCCAAATAATTTTATTTTATTTTTTATATATACTTTTTGAGACAGGGTCTCACTCTGTTGCCCAGGCTGGAATGCAGTGGCATGATCTCAGCTCACTGCAGCCTCAACCTCCTGGTCTCAAGCGATCCTCCTCAGCCTCCCGAGTAGCTGGGACCACAGGTGCACAGTGCTATGCCCAGCTAATTGTTTAAAAAATTTTTGTAGAGACCAGGCCTTCCCCATGTTGCCCAATCTGGTCTCAAACTCCTGGGCTCAAGCCATCCTCCTGCCTCAGCCTCCCAAAGGGCTGGGATGACAGGCACAAGCCATGGCGCCTGGTTGGAAGGAGTTTTACGAGGAGAGTCACATGATCAGGTTTAGCATTAGAAAAAGTCACTCTGCTGGGAGAGCAGATGATGACCGGGCCGGGGAAGAGAGAATGAGACTAGGGTCAGGTCAGGGAAGATGCGGGTCTGTGCTGGTGCCGTGGGAAATGTGGACTCGCGGAAGAGGTACACAGCCGCAGAATCAGTGAGGACATTTACTAGATAGCTTACAGTTTGACAGTCTGGGAGAAAATACACAATATGTCTGTCTCTGGGTGTTGGTAATGCAAGTGTTTTTAATTTTCTTCTTAATTCTCTGCAGGCAGGTTTCTGGCTTGGGCAATGGAGGAGACAGATGGCAGAGCCAGTGGGATTTATCCAGGGCTGGAATTTCTCCATGATCCCAAAGATCTTAGCCAGGGCAAGGGCCAGGTGATGGGGGAGGGGTCAGAACGGTGCGGAGGGCAGCTCGCTCCTGAGCAACAGTCACAAGTGAGACTCTGTGCCAGGCACTCTGAGGGTCCCTGAGGCTGGACAGAGAGGCCCCTGATGGCAGAGACACCTGGCTACAGCACCTGGACACTTGCAAGCTTCAACCCACAGTAACCCAGGCTTTTTACCTAGTCTCTGAAATAGCACCTTGAGCGGGCAGCATCCACTTTTCCGGCTCACTTTGGCCCAGCAGGGGCAGAGGACCAGTGTTGGCCTGGCAGAATCTTTCAAAGGCTGGAGCAAGGGACCTGGGCAGGACCACCAGGATGGCTGGTCTGAGCTCTGGGAAGGGTGAGAGAAGGGAAAATATACAATCAGCTGTTTCCTGGCAGACAGTTTCTGATTTTTTTTTTTTTTTTTTTTAGATGGAGTTTTGCTTTTTTTTTGAGACAGACTTTTATTGAAAATTTTGTTTTTTGTTTTTGTTTTTTTTTTTTTTATAG